GGTAAAAATTGATTAAAATAGCATACACAAGCTATGGAGGGACAAGTTTTCAAGAATAATTATCTACCTCAACATGTCTAGCTAAAAGAGAAGTAATTGTATTGTCTCTATGCCAAACGCGACACATCGATATATTATCAAATGATGCCCAACTTGTTCCATCATTGACTGAACAAAAATTCTCATCTGCTCCTTTTAATAGGAGAAATTTGTTCCATCAAAAATTGACGGCCTTACAGTGGATTGTCCTAGCTTCTTGAATCCATGCGTTCAACATTCTCAAAAAAAATTATCGTTTTCTCAAACTTCACAAAGAGTATTAGAAATATCCGTTGATAACAACTGTTAGAAAAAGTGTGCAACTCCAAAGCATTTTTGGAAGGGATATGCTAGGGGTACACCAAATGTGTACCCCAAATGTACACCACATTTTTGGAAACTCCAAAGCATTTTTTATCATTTTCTCAAACGTCACAAAGAGTATTAGAAATATCTGCTTCTTTGGCAAAAAATAAAAATTGATTTCTAAAGCGAATAATGCACAGACAGGATAAAAGTATTTTTCTAACAATTAAAAAAGATTTTTTCAACAGACTCCAAAATAAGTATAATTTCTATATAAGAATATTTTGTCATCCTTACAACATTTTCTAAGACTCAAATAAATTAAAAGTCTTCGAAAATCTTCTTCACTTGCAATAGGAACTCCATTAGGTATCTTGGTCTTCATTAAATCATGTGCTCCTTCTTGAATACTTTAATGGTTTTGGCACTTCAAGCCTTTGTGTTTGTCAATATGGCACTTTATTCTTGACTTGAATAACTTCCTTTTGTCAATTATCAAAACTTGTGAGTCAACACTTAAGAGTAGAAAAGGGTTGAACTCATGACAAACACATGGAGAATATGATATTAATATTTTATGTATCAAAGGATGTACAAGAAAAATATTTTAAAAGATATTTTTCTTATCTAAAAAAATTGTTTATCTTAAAAGTAATATTACAGAAAATTTTGACACACTTTTTGTGACCGACTCAATAGAGATATTTTTGGACAGAGATAAATTTATTTTTCACTTGACTCAATAAAAATTATTTTTATCTATTACCCTAAAAAAATTTGTTTGAGTGAAAAATATTTTGTCATCCTTACAATATTTCCTAGTAAAATAAAAGTGTTCGAAAATCTTTACTTCACTTCCGTTAGGCGCTCTGTTAGCCGTCTGGGTCTTCATTAAATCACGTGCTCCTTCTTGAATACGATTTGGCTCTTCAAGTCTTTGAGTTTTTCAATATAGTACTTTATTCTCGACTTGAATAACTTGTTTTTGTCAATTATCAAAATCTGTGAGTCAACACTTAACATTACAAAAGGGGTTGAATTCATGCATTTTAACAGAGTCAACTCAACTAAAAATTCAAATTTGTGGATGTGCCCATGAAAGATTTTTATATTCTAACATATAGTTTCAACAATGTTATATCTCCAAACGTTAGCCATAGTTAAATTTGAGAAAGTATTTCAAAATGTTCTTCCTCCATTTCTAGATGCCACGCTACAAGGCAAGAAGTTAATCATTAGGGATCAAATGTCGCCGAATAAAGATCTTAGAAACATAAAATTTTGCTTGTATTTAACGAAAAAATTTCAATTTTTTTACAGGAATCAATAGTTTAGATCAGGTTTTTTCAAATTTTGCAGTCAAATCATTAAAATTAAGTCATAAATAGCATGTTATGCTTCCAAATGTATTCTGCAAGTAAGGTTTAGCAATGAAAGTTAATATTTCAAGAATATAAACACTCTAAGAACAAAAAACATCATTAAAACCGAGCTAAAAAGTACAAGTTTTTGAGCAATCAACAAGCATAGAACCATCCAAAATTTGAATCCAATCAATTTATAACTACTAAATCAAAAACAAAAAAAAACTAAGTTGAAAAAAACGAACTACTAAAAAACTTTATTATAAACTCTATTATGTTAAATTTGAACCCGTTTCAAAGATAGATAATCTTGTATCTAACTTAATAAACGCGGGTGCAGATCTTTGAATACGAGACAATTGATTAGTCTCGACAGACCCGATTGATCCACAGGCTGCCCAAGCATGATCCGGTGGCGCTGAACTTGTTGATCCACAGGCTACCCGATTGATCTGGCGTTTCTGACGTCCAAAGTCAACGATTCCGGTGGCGCTGAACTAGTGGGAACATCAGTTGAAAATTCGTACCAATTTACATCGGAACTTCACAAGCGAAAACGGTCAGCCCTTATTCGAGCATGTCCTTGTCTCCGATCCTAAAGTCTATACTCATTTTATGGGCCTTGGGATATAAATACCATGAATAAATTAGACTTTTTGGGGAAAACAATGAAAGATCCTTAAGTGATTTATCATACACACACATGCAAGCAGCTAGCCCCTGCATTCTGCTGCACATGAGATATACGGAGTATTGTTCTATATTTAAAATGTGTATCAGTATACCATCCATCCAGAGAGCATTACATTGACAAGAAGCGTATGAAAACTAACTAAATTGTGAAAACAACAAGAAAAGGTGGAAGAATTGAATCTGTCAAGCGAAAAGGTATTTCAGGTTGAAGTTCTAAAATAGACTTATGGATTGAGTCCGTGAGTGAGAACTGATCGAGAGCACTTACATGGCACGTCAGTGTCAGGCTTCACTTGCCGGGCATCATTCCAGAATGCCTGCCTCAGTCTAATTGCCTGCACGGATAACAAATTGGTCGCCTTTTAACCCCCCATAAGCCAAGCCACTTGTGCGAACTCTCCTGATCAAAGAAGAGAATTATATACAAAGCAGATAGATAGCCGTACTGATCACAAAATAAAGTAAAACATCCATGTTCATCGAGAACATAGTAGCCATATCTAGCTCTTGAAATTTAAAGCTTTGAAAATATTTCCATCTGGGGGGAGGGGAACTAAATGCCTGGTAAAGTGGGAACTAACTATCATTGTGTGAGAATATATGTGCATTGCAACAGCAGCTTAGGGAAGAATTCCCTAATTTCAGTTGACAGTTTTTACAATGTGGAATGAATGAGAGGGGCAGGAACGAGCTAGCTAAACCGGCATTTGCTACCAGGCCATTTCACTGTGCTTTTCTGGTAACACATTTTACCAAGAGCAGCGAATACAATACAATCATAGACTCATAGTAGTAGCAGAACACCATATGGAATATAATGTTTTCAAATAACAAAACCCGCCAGTAAGCAACGATATATCCACTCTTCTTCTTCTTCTTCTTCAAGAGCGAACCTCCTCATCCTCTTCTGCAACATCTGGTGACTAAACTCTCCCTTTCTCTTCCAACTCCTTCCACCCCTTCTGCTCTTGATCGGTTAATTGCAACAAATTTACCAATATGATCCTCTTATCAGCTCCAACTTCAGTCATATCCACGGTAATGGCATCATCGCCCCATTCAATGACATTGCTTACCCCACTACCTATGACTATCACCATCATAGGATCATTTACCTCTTTGAAAGCTTTAGCCAATGATGTTAGGTACTTAGGTTACCTTTTTTTTAAACTGACTAGTCCTTTATTGACAGTCTTACTGAAATCCCCGGGCAATAGCTTCTTGTATTTGGGTAGCAAGTTAGCTAAAGTATCCCAATACCCAGGGAAGCACGCGCAATATGAACATAATAATAGAAAATATTTTAGCACCACAAGACTACGATCATCTACCGATTTCCTTATACCTGACTTGTCCATCCAATTGATCATGTCTTTCGGTTCTCCAAGCTCCATCATAAGCTTTAAAACAGACTCCACAATGCTTTTTTTAAATTCAGATGTTATGATCTCATGATTGCAATCGATCATCGATTCCAAAAAAAATTGACTGTGTGGAAACCATGTGCTTGCAAAAACTAAAGCAGATTAGAAATGCAAGGTGTTCCAAAATATATAGGAAGTGAACAAGTGGGATGTAATCCTGTGGGATTTTCTCCTCTTTGCTATCAATGTGTGTTCGAGTGCGTCGACAAAGTCCTCGATGGTTAGTCGTTGAAACTTCTTAATTCGCTCCGTGCCTTCATGATTGAGAGGCAAAGCACTGAAATGTATGTGTAAAAACGTTCTATACCAAAGATGGTTGTTTCTGAAGAATGAATCAATTGATGGTACAAACGATGGGTAGCGGTCAAGTCTTAACACTCTATACTTCAAGCCAAAAAAATCACTCCCAATTTCCGTACCAGCTTGTATGATGCCTTATAAGAAAGAAGGAGAGCCACAAGTTTCTTGAGTATAAGACTAGAAACTGGTAAATGCCGGAGTAGTATCATCTCAACTTTAAGGGATTTCCTCCAGTGGAGCGAAAACATACTATCAAAGTAGAGAAGAGACGAATCTTGAATCATTTCCCCAAGCATCCTTTTCTCATTTGGAGGAATTCTCACAAACTTGGACTCCATAATGGAAGTGGCAACCTCAAAAATTTGTGTCAGAACCTTCCCATGATAGAAATCGGATTTTGGAATAGCACTACTGTGCAACAAACTATCAGTTTTATCAAGAATCTGCACTACTTCCATACCAAGTTTAACCAATTCCGAGCTCCAATATGTTTTGGCTGCGAAAATAAGACGATGGACGCACAATCCATCTTTTCTGCTCCCTACTTTCCTTGCCCAATCAGCATTGGGTTCAACACGGTATAAAATGGTTCAGAACTCGTATTGTAATGCTTCAGAACTCCTAAGTAACTAAAGTTGAACTTTAACTTGGAGTTGTGTTTGCTCTCATGCATACGTTCAAGACATTGAATAACATATTGAATTTTCTCCTTCCAAAGGTTCAAAGACTAGATCAGTGTTTCTACAAACATCTTATTTTTAGAAAGTTTCTCTTCAGTATACACTTTCAAATCATAAACCAAAGAATCTTCAAAGGAGAACTTTGACAAATTAGTCTTAAGCTTAAGATTTACCAATTTGTCAAAATTCTCCTTTAAAGATTCTTTGGTTTATGATTTGAAGGAGTATACTGAAGAGAAACTTTCTAAAAATAAGGTGTTTGTAGAAACACGGATCTACTCTTGAAACCTTAAGAAGGAGAAAATTCAATATGTTATTCAATGTCTTAAACGTATGCATGAGAGCGAGCACAAACACAACTCCGAGTTAGAGTTCACCTTTAGTTACTTAGGGGTTCTGAAGCATTACAATACGAGTTATGAACCATTCTATACCGTGCTGAACCCCAATGCTGATTGGGCAAGGAAAGTAGGGATCGGAAAAGATGGACTCTGGGTCCATCGTCTTATTTTCGCAGCCAAAACATATTGGGGCTCGGAATTGGTTAAACTTGGTATGGAAGTAGTGCAGATTCTTGATAAAATTGATAGTTTGTTGCGCAGTATTGCTCTTCTGACACAAATTTTTGAGGTTGCCACTTCATAATGATGAATACAGGGCAATCAAAACACAGTCACCATTAGACAATAGAAAATTATCATCTACTACAGTACATACATTCAATGATACATAGAATAAATTTAACCTCAACGGTATAAAAATCAATGACGCGATAACCCTTCTCCGTAGCAACATCCAATGGACCTTGATCAGGTTTGTCCTTCGAGAGAGCTGGTGGGATGTTGCAAACAATGCAGCGTTCCCCAAATGAACTGCCCTCTTCTGCCATCAGTTTCTGCCTACAAATTAAGAGGTGCAGTGCAGTGCACGAATTAATGGTTTTCAAGTAAGTGATCAACGCAATGTTATTATTCTCCATCCATATATTAAGCAAGACTATCTCTCTATCAATCTGTAATATCAACAAGGCTTGATCTTTCTAGGCTCTAGCTGATTAAGTTTTCAAATTAATCCCTTGTTAACTATAAATGATTTAATTCCCACTTAATTATACAAACAATTTCTCATGAAATTTCTAAAGAGATGGAAATAATGACTATCCGTATGTAGCTAGTAGGGATTGCTTGCCTGAGTTTACCAACCTATATACCTTTCATATTAATTAATCAATTAATTAAAAGAGAGATAATGTTTCAATTAACTTCGGATAATAGAAAAAATCAAATTCGAATGAATTATTCAAATAAGGTATTCACGAATTCAAATCTGCAGAGGACAAAATTCAAATAAAACGCAGTGAACTTACCAATGATCCGTAAGCAATCTACAGTAATCGTCTATAAGGCGTTTACGGATCCCTCTTAGCGTTTGCCCCATGGATCGATTGAGAAAGCAGAAAGAAATAAGGCATGGCCACCACAAGGTAGTATATATACCGTGTGTTCTCTTCCTTAATTTTATACAATTTCTTTTATTTTAATTAAAACTAGATTCGTACCCGTGCGTTGCACGGAAAGAATTTCGTTATTATATTTGTCAATTATTAAATTCAATTAGTAATTCATAACAAAAAAATTTCCTTCTACATAATTTAGAAAATTTCAAAGACAAAGATAATACTTCTACATAATGAATTATTCATAATCAGAAAACGGACTACATGATAAAAAAACATCACAAATGACACATGTATATGACAACAAAATTGATAAAGATGCATATGTAACAAAGAAATGCTCCTATAAACTGAAAACTCTCAATTGACATGCAAGTATATTATAGAACTATTAATGACTTAATAGTTTCATTCAAACTTCAAATAAAGCATTTAAATAATGTATTAAAAGCTTTCAAAAAGACCAATTGGTTCAAGAAAGTAGTGAGAAAAAACTGAGAAAGGGAAAAATATTACCCGTATCTTGAAAGTGTCGAAAGAACCTCAACCCACTTACCCACACCATCAACAACCCCCATTTGATTGTTCAATCCCAAATATGAACTGAGCATCCTCTCATCCAATCTCTTCTTTGTCATGAAAGGACAAAAAACATAATATGGAATTCAGCTTCAAACAAATTTGAATCCATGTTCTTCAGTTACCCTATCAATAACAACTTCTGAGCAATGTTTCCCTGATTATGAAAACCATAAGAGTCCGTTTGGTATACAGAATTGATGGAATTGGAATTGAAATTCCATGGGATTCAATTCTGCCAATTCCAATTCATTTTTTGCACTATCAATTCCGAATCCACATGATTTTTGTGCTACCAAACACCAGAATAGAATTGAAGGCCTCAATTCTAATTCGAATTCAGTGTACCAAATGGGGCCTAAGAATCTTTTAAAAATTACCACCCGTGATGCATCTAATTAGTGAATCCCAGGTTGGAAATCTAATTAGGGCTTCCCCACGAACCTCCCGAGCTTCCCGTCGTAGTATTCCGGCCACCCGTCTTTCGGCAGCTTCGCCTCTGCCAGCGGAAGTCCATGTTGGAGGGGCCCACGTTGCCGATGAAGTAGCCGCCGTGTGTGGGCATGAAGTCGAAAATCCACTCCGGGAGCTAGGGAATCCGGGATGACGTCGTCGTGAGGGGTGTTGGAATCTGGCTCCTCTCCGATGCTTTGTCTCCCTCACCGTCGTCCTTTGCCAGCTCTGATCACGTGATGATTTCGATAAGCGAGTGGGCAGAAGAATTGTGTGGTGCGTGAATCTCCAACCTTATTCATTAGCTTAGATGTGTGTTTTGACAGAACTAACCCTCCGAACACGGTTCCTGCTTATTTTTGCTTTAGTAAGATAAATAAGATAAGATAAGATTAAAATAAAAATACGGAGCATATAAAAGAAAATAAAGAAAAAGAAAAGTATGTGAAAAAATACTTTTATAAAATAGGAAAAAATAAGTCATCAAAGAAATCTTTTAGACATTGGTGCAAAATATATTATTAATATATATTTAACTACTTCAAATAGATTAAAAGTACGTTACTCGATATTTTTTTGGTCCCAACATATTCAAAAAGATAAAGCTTCTTTAGTCAAAATGAAAAAATATTTAATTTAGAAAATGAAGTATATGTTAAATTTTTTATTTCACTTTTCATTTCAAAGACAAATATTTTTAAATTTTTTAAAACTTGTTTTTAAAATGTAGGTGTCAAAAAAATAATTTTTTTTATTTCACACAAAAACAATCTTCTTCTCTTTTTGAAGAAAAGAAAAACAATTATGGAAAATGAGAGGAGGCGTTGGCGCCTATTTCTAAAACATAGGGCCAGCGGAGTTATTCGCATAATATTTGAATGATATTTTTGGGCCAGCAGAGTTGTTCACCTATTTAATATTAATAACTACGAAGTACACTAATGATGATGATAATAATTCTGATTAAATCAGATTTGATCTGATCTGGTCCGATCTGATCTGATTTAATAAAAATAAGTAATAAGCAGAAAAAAATAAATTGAACGAATCGTTGCCCTGCTCCCCCACCTAAAATCTCATCACTTTTTTTAAAAAAATATTCTAACTACAAATTTTAATAGAAACAAAAAGTGTTAATTATACCAAAAGTCATAATAATAACAGAGACATTCATTTTTAGACAAATAAAGTACTACCTAAAAATCTCAATTCATTCTTTGGATTTATATTTTCTTTAGGGTAAAAATAATCAAAAATAGCATACACAACATATGGAGGGACAAACATTTTAGAATAATTATCTACCTCAACACGTCTAGCTAAAACAGAACTAACCTATTGTCTCTATGACAAACGTGAGACATCGATATATTATCAAAAGATGCCCAACTTGAGAGCAATCCTCAATCGATGCACAAAATATGAGATCCATGTCTGAAGTAATTAGAAATACATAATTAAGTTGTTGAGTACGAAATAAATATGTTATATCAACAAATAAAAAGGCTTAATTATGTATAAGGACCTTTTCCAAAATAATTTTTTTGTAAGAATAACTTAAACAAAAACTAATTTATAGGGACCAAAAACAAAACTCGTCTATTTTTCAGAGACTAAAAACATATTTAACTCTAAAAGAAATTTTGAAATTGATAAAATTTTATACATTATTTGTGTAGTAACACATATTGTAGGAGAGATGGAGTACAACTTCATCTTTCTAAAAATAGAAAGGTTATTGTTGTTGGACTCGTGATGCCTTATTCACTGTCCCAACTTAAACGTCCATAGAACCCAGTCCATACTGGCCCATGTCTAGCCTGGTTCGATAAAGCGGGCCTTGTATTTTGTCATAAAAAAGTTGCAACTATTGTCCGGTCCAAGCCCGCCCAAAACATAGTAACATAGTACTTCCTCTCTCACTATTTGTCCAGTTTCGACTTTTTTAGTTAATTGTTTTCAACTTTTGACTTATGATTAAATAAAATATATATTATGAATGAATTAGATAAACTAATATTTTGAAAATATTTAATATGATAAATCTAATAATATTATTTTTGTATCAATATCGATATCATTTTTATTTAATTTGACCAATTTTGAACAAAAAAAAGTCAAAAATAGACAAATACTAAGGAAAGGAGAGTAATTAATTTGTTTTGTTGAAATATTTATAGAGTAATTAATTAATACGGAGTGGCAATATACATATTTAAATATATTAAAATAAATAAAGAGAAAAATAACATCCAATTTTTTTTAAATTGTTTGATTTGTTCTCGTAAATTATTCACATGCATTAACCAATATTCTCTATTTTACTTTGTATATTTGTAATGCGAATTGTGCTTCTGTGGTCATAACCTCAACATGTAAAATGTCGACATTTTCACATTTTTTATTGGTTTGGATGTACATATATTTTTTCTTTTTTTAACACAAAGTCCAGTTCGGTATCAATGGACGTACTAAAGTCTAGAAAATGAATGTGAAACTAAAGACCAAATAAAAATAAACAACTTTTCCTTTATGTCAAATATCCAAATTTTGTACCTTAATATATATATCTTGACATAAGTCCACTCAAATGGTAAGTATAATTACCATTGGCAGTGGACACAATAAGGTTGAAATTTGTAAGCACTAAAATTTCAAATGCTAGTAATTATTTCTTCAAATATGGTTTGTGTAACAATGGTCAAGGTAAGTCATTGACAATAACAAAAAATTGTTGAATTATTATTTTATACTTCAAAAAAAAAATAGTTTGTATGCATGAGCAATTATATATGGCAGAGTTTGAAAAGTAGGAACACTTTGAAAATATGTTCGTGTTCAGTAGACAGATTTCATTAATACAATAACAAGTTTTATCTTGAAAAGTATGGCAATGAGTAATTAAATTCGTACGAATTGCGTATATGCATGACTAAAAAAACATTAACCCACACATTATTTATTTCTAGCCTAGACTTTGCCATCACATAAAAATGAATACTTTCTTTCCAAACCTAAATTAACTTTTATAATGTTTAAGGAACATTTTGAAAAGTCAAAAGTATATACTTTCTCCGGTCTTAAAAATCTTTCATGTTTTGACCTTTTTTGGTCAAACAATGACACACTTTGACTATAAACTGTGAGAAAATTATATTTAATTATAATATAAGTTTAATATATTTGGGTTCATTTTAGAATATAGTTTTAATATATTAAATTTTTAAATCATTCATTTATTTAGGTTATGTTTACTACAAAAATCCGAGGGGGCGACATTAAATGGGAACATTATTTTGATCTCAAACATTATACAAATACACAGACATTTAAAGCTTGTACATGTATAAAACGTTACCGTAATATCTGAAGTCAAAATGATGTCACAATTTTGGTATCCCTGCCACTGGCTTTAGTTAGTGGTAAGGTTGTCGGTAGGCGTTGCACAGTTGGCAATGCAATTGTTGCCAAGAGTGCAAGATCCGATTTCAATTCCTGACAACTGCGTTGAAAGACTTCACTCTTTATCACCAATCTACGATTAAAAATTCAATTTATCTCGTCTCAGTGACCGTCTGACTGAATCTGAAGAAGTTATCAGGAACGGGGCTCTCTCTTTTTTAGTTAGTGGTAAGGCTAAGGATAGTGCGGACAATTGAGCACTATCTATGAAGTCAAAGCCATCATGTCATGTCTTGTGTGTGGAGAAAAAACATAGCAGAGTATATATAGCATTTCTTCTCCTGCATTTTTATGATTTCCATTTAATTTCTTTATTTTTGTTATTTTGTTAAGTTAGTGAATACTCTCTCCATTCTATAAAATCCTTTCTCTTTCGTTTTTTTCTAATTCTCTAAAAGACTTCCACTTTCTATTAAAAAACCACTTTTCTACCCCTGCTTTTTTCTTACCATACCTTTCACATCATACTTTTTCACTAATAATCAAACTATCATATCTTACTTTTACTCATTACATCAGGGGCAAAATCGAAAAGTCAACCAAAATTACATTTTCCTTATTTTGGTCCAAAGTCAAAATATGAATTATTTTAAAGAACGGAGGGAGTACATTTTAAGTACTCCGTATCAATTAAACAAATATTACTCTGTATTATATTTAATTCTCTCCGTCCCACAAAATATTAGCCATTTTGATGTATTTTTTATCAAACATTTACATGCTTTGGCCATAAATTAAATATAATCTAAATAAAAAAATGTTATAAAAATTTCATATATATATCAAAACTAGATCCTAAGATGATCTAATTATATTAAATTTATATTATAATTCAATATACTTTTCTCACAATTTGTAGTCAAAGCGTGTAACTATTTGACTAAATACTATTCAAGATGAGTAATGTTTTATGGGACGGAGGGTGTACATATTCTTACAAAATCATTTCATTATATTTAGGTTGTAAAAAGAAGTGCAAATAATGAAGTATTTCATTGTGTATATTATTATGCCATGGAACCTAGTTTTATGTAATCAATAACTTAGGGGAAAAGTTTATAGAACAAATAAAATATTAAGAGGGTGATTGGGGTTATGATGCATTGTTCTTGAAAAAGAAGCTAAGAAATCATAGGTTAAAATCATCTAATCCGCAAAAAAAAAGATTTTTAGCCCATTTTGCACACCTAATAAAATAATCATAAACCACAATAAGTAAGTATTTATACGGAGTGTTTCTCTGTGAGTTTTTATTGGTGTTTATTGGCTATTCTAAGTATTTTTAAATTTATAAATTACTTATGAGTTAAATATTCTTTCATTGAAATAAAAATGTGTTAAATGATACGGAGCATGTAAGTCTTTGGTAATATTCTTAAATTTTGAGTGACATGTTCGCAATAAATAATAATAATAATAATAATAATAATAATAATAATAGTAATACATGCACTGGGTATGTGGGTTGGCTATTAGTTGCAATGTCTGTGAGTGTCATGTGGGGTGGAGCATGAATTGATATACTCTCCCCGCTCCAAATTATTTGTCATATTTACTTTTTCAACAATCGCGGGAACTCTTGTTTAACTTTATGTTTTCATTGGTCATTTGATAAAATAAAATATTTTTGACACCTCTTATTTCAAAGAACTTTTCATGTAGTTTTTTGATATGTATTTTTTATTTTTTATTTCTTTACCAATATGTAAATAAAATGAATTGAAAAAACTTGATATTTTGTCTCGGTAATAGAAATGTGACAAATAATTTGGGACGGAGGGAGTATATATACTCCGTATATAATGTGATATGATAGA